TGTCCTTACGAACATGTAGGCTATATATGTCAGCTACTGGAAGAATTGCTTAAATAAAGATAAAATGCGAAAAAAGCTACAATTATTTAAAAAAAATATTTTAACAAAAATTAGAATTTCTTGATATTCCTTGTCAATTTAGAAATACTGATATGAAAATATGCCTCGTCTATAGAGAAACTGTAAATGATACAATAGTGCAGTTGGAGAGAACTACATAATATTATATATTGCCTATATTCCCAAAAATATTAGTTTAAAAGTAGTGGAAACAATAGCAAATATAAGCTAACACTCAATACACAAATCACGAAGTTTTTCCAATAAAATCTTATGGACTTATCTGACATTTTGCAATGCAAACTCTCATTCTGCAGGTGATCGTCAATATATGTATATGTATATATATTATATACATATGCATATATTCTATATATTATAGAAATTGCAGCTACCGGCGGCCGAGTCTTGATGGGATGTTGGCTCAGTCTTGCGCAACACCTAATGCATGTACTAGTTAGTTAGCTTTCGAACTTGTTTAAGGATGTAGTCGAGGATTTCAGGAAGTAACATTTTCACTAATTATTTTCAAACAAAAAATCGTTTTAAACCATATCATATGTGTTTTATGAAAATTCATATTTAAAATTCATTATTGCGTTAGATAAAAACCGCGTGGTCACGTAGTACTCATTTAACTGGTAATTTGAAGTCTAAATTCAAACACGTTGAGTTGCTGGATTATTTTTTTAAATGGATTGTCTGTTACCAATGTAGATGATTGATAATCATATAAAATTATTTTATACTCGACTGTGTGACTTATTAGTTATTTAAAATACATGCAAATTTAATCATATCGATGCGGGCTGTTAATTCCGATCACTATTTAATGTATGTTCCATTTATGATAGAGCTCTGAAATTGTCTTAGAATAATTAGATAGACCTATGTATTCTATAAAAATGAAGAAATTCATTTTGAATACCATGTGCCATTCTTAATAGTAATAGCAATGGCGATTAGGTTTATGGGATTATGTCGTTGATAATACCCGTACCGAATACAGGAAGTTTTGGCCACGAATCAAAGGCGACTCGTACCTGCACACGCTACGGCGTCCAATAGATTACAAGTCAGATAACCAATTGTATAGGTTGTATGAGATTACACATGACAAACACTAACATTATGTATACTAATTTTGACCAGGCAGTATAGGCATATCAAGTGTTGATAACAAAATGTGTGGTCGTTGTGATGAATGTGATCGAATTTCGTGTAAACAAACAATGTATTTTACACTCATCGCT